GCACTGTACTGGATAATGAACAAGGGTGAATGGAAACTATTTGTCCACCACCGAGTAAATGAGATCTTGAAGCTAACGAACAAAGGAGATTGGGGGCATTGTCCCGGGGTTGAAAATCCTGCGCACATAGGGTCTCGAGGTGCTTCACAATTGAAAAATAACAAGCTATGGTGGGTGGGGCCAGATTGGCTAACTAAGTCCAAAGAGGAGTGGCCAAAATTTGAGGCTACTGATAAGACAAAGACAGTTTTGGAAGACGAACGAAAGTCTGCAGTTAATGGTTGTAGATGTGACAGAGCCAGCTAATCTAAGCAGAGTGATTGACTTATGGGACAACGGAACGACTCTTTAGAGTAACAGCTAAGGTACTTAGGTTTGGGTTTAATGTACGAGCAAAAGCAAGGGGCATTGATAGGTGATCATGAAGTGGAGAATTGACAGTGAATGAGTTAGTTGAGGCAGAGAGTATATGGATTAAAGAGGCTCAGGCAGGATTGAAAGTAGATACCTGTACAGTAGAAAGTACACCCAGCTGAGTAGTAGTTTAGGTTTGATGGAAGAGGAAGGCTTTCTGAAATATAAAGGTAGATTACATAATTCTGAGTTAGAGTTCAATACCAAACACCCAATCATTATACCCAAGGACCACAGACTGGCTGAATTGATTGTCCAGAAACTTCACAGTGAAGTGCATCACTGTGGTGTACGGGCAACCTGAGGAAGATTAATTTGAGGAGAAAATAATGGGTTATGATAGGAAGACAACTGGTGAAGCGGATTTAGGTACATACGTTACCTGTAAGAGATTAGAAGGAAAAGTATATAGTGCAGCACAGACGGCAGATTTGCCAGGACTTCGAGTTAGGGAAGCTGCACCCTTTTCTAATATGAGAATAGATTTTGCAGGTCCATTGTTTGTAAAGTGTTCTGCAAAATGTCCAAGTAAGGTTTATATAGCATAACAGGTGGGAAATTTGTCTGAGCATGCGCGAGCAAATTGAAAAACACAATTGCGTGGAATACACGCAACGCGTGTTTACAAAAAGGCACAATCGTCTAAATATTGCCAAATGTTTGTACAAAATAAATGACTGTTTTATGTTGAAAATGGACATGATCTAAATTAATCATACAGAATTTTTTAGTGACGTTCTATTTCAGTACCCTGCCATTGTCTCTGGTGGGCTGTCCGTGTGCATTCGAT